AACTGCCTGTGTGGTCTCCTGCTAATTTATTTGCACTCCTATCCCTGGGGAAAGCATTGCAATCCCTCTAGGCAAAGGGAGATTAGGGAACCGGCTGTCTGTGCTCCCCACCCTGCCAGAGAAGGGAAGACAACTTTCAAAGTCCCACAAGTTCTTCTGGCCACTGTACAAATTGTTCTTGAGCTCGGAGGGTTTCCAAAAGCCCTAATTAGCAACTTACAGCACACATTTCTATGCGTTTGCTAATGATCCGACTACACTTGTAAGCAAACAGAACCAACATATCTAATCAATGCTGAAAAACCAACCAAATGCCTATTAAACATCTGGATGTGATTTTCCAGTGAAAACAAAGTGAAAACATATGCAGGTTCCTTTGATGTGCGGTCTTAACAAAGAAATTGTTGATAAAAAAGAAAAGCATACTGGTCAGTCAGCATGTCATTTTCATAGTCTGCTCGCTTCTCTTCAAATGCTCCCAGTTTGATTTAGTTGGTTTCCTGCAATCTCTAATTTTACCATATTGTGTGAAACCACAAGGGTTTCTTTGGATGCGATTTTATTGGAGGTTTTACTGCCGCGTGGATCTGCTACTAACTGCTTCTCCCTCTCCTCCTTCGCCCCTCCACTCCATGGCTTGCCCCTCTCGTCTGTCTCTTTGGTTGGGGAGGGCAAGAAAAGGGTCACTAAGCAGTCTCAGTTTTCTCACATAGTTTAGACCTCTACATTCCTAAGTTTAGGAAAACTCTTCAGCTAAAAAAGCTAAGGAAAAAAAAAAAACTAGTGCTAACTCAGTTAAAAAGAAAGTGACAATTTATCTGTAAAAATCTGCTACAAATAACCAAAACTTAGTTATATTTGAAAGATGCCTAACATCCAGGAATGATCAAAATTGCTTTTTTTCCCCCATTACCTCATTATCCATAGCATATAGTAAAAAAAAAAGTTTTGTAATTACTTATGTTATTAATGATTTGAAAATTTAATAGCAATGATGAGTGGAAATATACCCATATATGCATTGAGGAATACAGCATGATACTCTTTTGTTTTCCTGCAGAAGATCAAAAAAGCCTATTTTTAAGAGATAATTTCTCATGGACGCAGTGTCCTGAATATCATTTTCCACGAAGATATCATCAATGTAAATGCATTTATTAGAGATAAGGAAGATGAGGGTTAACAAGACCTCAAATAGAAGGCCAAAATGACAGATTTCGTGAGGACTATCTTAAACAGGCTGTAGGCAATCTGCACATATATTATTTATTTAAAATGTAAGATTAAAGTCACTTGATTGTTTAAACGCCATGATTTGCAATGCAGTCTGATGAGAGTTTTGTAGCGTAATTATTACAGCATGACAATCACGGGGGGGGGGGGACTATGACCTTGAAAAAGGGCAGAGGTTCCCACTCTGCAGGAAGTAGGTTGTTGTGAATAAGAAGGAAGCCCTGGAAAACCAATCATTTTTATGCAGTCTATTAAAGGCCTCCAATTTAAAAATCATTATGCTCTTTCTTTTCTCATGATATTGCACATTATAAGAAAACCACAGGCCTAGCCTGGTTTTTAAACTCCTGGTAAGAAGGCAGTAGTTGAAAGAGAATTTCCAGTTCGTACCCAAGGCAAGCCATCAGTTTTATTAGGAAGCATTTAGAGACAGTGTTTTAGAAAGGATGCTGAAGGAGGTGGAGTTAGGAGGGAAGAGAAGCAGCAAGACTTCCATTTCTGTGCCCTGACACAATGTTGAAATTCTCTCTTCAACGGACAGAATATTCAATCAGGGTACCCCCAACAGGTGCATTTTGGGGAAGCCAAGGAGAGCAGGCCCAGTTGACTATCATATGAACGAGCATACTTAGGGCAAGCTAAACTTGAACATCCCAGCCTGGCATGCATAGCCCAAGCACTAAGTGTTGCAAAGACAAAGCCTGCTTGCCTAGGGATGTCATTTCAGAAGGTCCTACAGGAGGAGCAGGGCTACAAAAGAGGGAGACAGTGTGGCCTTGCTTGTCATTTTCCAACAAAACAGTAACACCCCTCTCTCGGCAGGTGCACTTCAGAACACTGCAAAGCTAGAATCCTGAATGTTAAGAACTTACATAGGCCTCACTCAGGCTGGCTGACACCCGCAGCTGATTTTTCATTTATAATTGATATTTGGGGTTGAAGCAATTACAGACAAATCAATATCATACATATTTCAAAACAACTCCAAACCGTGAAACGTTAGCCAAAAACGATTCTCTTAATATTTCACTAAAAAGAGCCTCCCCCCACCCCAAACACATCTTTAAACACAAACGCATTTCTTCCCCTAAGTTTCGGGCAGACAAAACAGTGGGGACGCTGGGTGACAAACTGCAGGAAGCGAGTTCCAAAGGATGAGTACTCCTGGATGATATGTCCTCCATGGAGGGAGTATTCTGTTCTTCTCTGTCTGCTTGGGAAGTGGAAAGTTTCACTGACCTGTTCTTTTAAGAGGAACGCAGAGGAAACACAAAGGCAGGCTTTCTGCTGTGTGGTGTATTTAGAGAATCAGAAACGGAGAGCTCGCAGTACTAATTACAGGGAGGGCATTGTCTGGTTCATTGGAAATCTCAGAATCCCTTTCATCCTCTGCCGTACCTCTAAGGGCCCTGACCAAGTCGCCCAGCCAGCAACTGCTACTCGGGGCTGGGCCAGGAGCACCACCCAGACAGACCCCAGGGGGTGCGGCAGGCACAACAGGTGTTTGAGACCTCGGGACTAGCCGACTCCATTGTCTCTCTTTGTTCGGGGAATTGGAAACAGACTCCTGGTCGTCCTGCGGTCCACCTCGCTCCGAAAAACCTCAGCCTTCCCCCACCCCGTCACACAGCGCAGGCAGGACTTTTCCAGATAAGACCCGGGATATTTCGCGCCGCGATCCTTAGCCACCCTCTCAGCACCCAGGACACGCGTGCCCTTATTCTGGGGACACCTGGGGAGGGGTGGTATCCTGCCCGGCTAAATGAAGGCAGGCCGACCTTTCTACAAAGTGGCTTGAAATCCCCTAATAAAAGCTAAATCCTTCCCACCCCGGGCGCGAGGGGGGTGGGGGCGCGTGTGCAGTCGCCCGCTAAGCGCTCCTTGCTCATTCAGGCATCCGCCACCAAGTGCACAACCCACGGTGCTTCGCAAGGAAAAAAAAAAAAAAAAGAAGTCTAAGAAATTTCGGCGTGTGTGACCTCACTTTGCAAGAGCAACCTCAGGAGAGGATGGGGGAGCGCGCAAGCAACAGGCCTTCTCCCCCACCTCCCCAACCCGGGCGCAATAGAGTCCCCGAGTCACTTTCCCTGAGCGCGCAAAAACAAAAAAAAAAAAAAAAATTTTTTTTTTCTTTTTACGCAAGCGAAAAGTGAACAAGTGGTAGAATTTCAAGCAAACTCGAGCCCCCAGCTGCCGCGGCGGCAGCACGCGCGCCCTCGCGCGTTCCTCTCCACCCCACACGCACGCGCGCGCACACACACACACACACACACACACACCACACAACGGCCCCACGTTACTTTGATCGACAGCCCGGCCCCACCGCTCTCCTCCCCACCGACCTGCCCATGGCGGGTGCCAATCTCCGCCGCGCGCCGCCTCTCATTGGCCGCTGCTCGGAGTCCCCGCGGGCTCCTCCAGGAACGGTTCCTCCCCGAGCTCCGGGAGGGGATGGCGGCGGCTGGCGGAGGGAGGGGCGGACGGGGTCGGTGGGCGGAGAGACGGCCGAGAGGGAAGGCCGAGCGGGGCCGGGAGCACCGGGGTGGCGGCTGGGGGCGGGGGGGAGAGAAGCCGCCATAGGCCCGGGGCAGGCGTGGCGTCAGCGCCCCACGTTGGGCGCGGAGAGGGCCATTGGTCGGCGAGGGCCTGGCTCGCTCGCCGCGCGCCCACACAACCGGCAGCCTCCCCGGGCCCGCGTCCCCCCCGCCGGCTCGGGGCTGGGCGGGGCCGGCGCTGCCGAGCTCCGGGAGTGTGAAACCGCGTGTTAATGTAACCGGTGCGAGAGGCGCGGGCGGCGGGAGCGGCGGCGGCGGCGGCTACCCCGTGGCCCGCGTTCCCTCAGGCGAGCCCGCCCCGGGCTGGGCCCGAGCCCCGCGCGCGCCCCGTCGGGGTCGCCCGCCCCGTGACTGCTTGCTTGGACTCGGAGTTTGCCCTCCTTCTCTTCCCGCTCGTCACCAGCACCACGCACACGCGCGCACACACACACACACACACACACACACACCTTGCCGTGGATGTCGTCGTCCTCCTCCAGCGCCTGAGAGAACTTTGCTGAGGGCCGGAGAGGCCAGGCGAGGACGCGGGCGGCGTGGAAGGTGGACTCGGAGCGGCGGCGCCCCGATGCGCCCCGGGCTGGACGAGCGGCGGGTGCTGGCCGCGGGACCGCTGCCCTCCGTGAAGTAGCTCGCCCGGGCCCGGGAGGGTTCGTGCAGCCGCCGAGAACACCGGGCGGCCCGTGGCACGGGGCGGGCCGAGCCGCCTCACGGCGCGTCCCGCGCGCGCTTCTCCCTCCGCGCCTCGTCATCCCTGGCTGCCCGGGCTGAGGTGTCGGACCTCCGGGCTCACGCTTCGGCTTCCACGGCGAGCGGCCGGCCAGCAGCAGCAGCAGCAACAGCAGCAGCAGCTTGTGTGTTGTGTTTTTGTCGTGTGTGTGTGTGTCTGTCTGAGGTGGGGGTTGCTGAGCCACCGCGCCACCTGCACCTCAGCCCGCCGCCGCCGCCGCCGCCGAGGTGAAAATCCGGCGAGGACGACGAACAGCCCCGAAGAGCCGAACGAGAGCATCCTGCCCGAAGCGAGCGCGGCGCCCCCGGCCTCCCCGCCCCGGCGTCTCGGGCCGCCGGCGCCTTGGAGCCGGTGTGCGCCGTGCCTTGGCCGCCCGGCGCCGGCGTGGCCGGCTCGTAGAGCGTCGCAGCAGCAGCCGGGCCCCGGGCCGGCCCGGGATGTGGCCCTGAAGGTGCAGAGCCGCCGCGGGCGCCGAGCGGCCGGTGCGCCCCGCCGAGCGCGCCTGCGTGCGTGGCCAGCGCCAGCCCGGCTCCTGGCCGGTTGAATTTTTTTTTTTTTTTTTTTTTGTCTTCCTCGCCGGGATTAAAGTTGGAAATTGAGCGGAGAATTGAGTTGCCCGGGAACAGAGCTGCGGCTGCCGCCAGAGCGATGTTCCCGCAGAGCCGGCACCCGGTGAGGCGCGCCCGGGGGTGGACGGGGAGCGCGGGGCTTGGGGGACTTTCTCGCGCTCTGGGGAGGTGGGCGCCTGCGCCTGGCATCCGGCGGGGCCAGGCCCGGGGCGCGGCGCGCTGGTGGTCGGAAGGAGGTCTCCCTCTTGGGTGTGGGGAGTGCACTGAAACTTAATTTATCCCCCCCACCCCCACCCGCCGCCCCTTCTCCTCCGGGCCCCTTTTCTACTTGACGTCTAGACAGGGCGACCGCGGGCGCTGGGGGAGGCTGAGGTTTCCTTGCCGCAGCCACATCCTGCGCTCTCCCTCCCAGGCGGGTTCGGCGGCCCCCTTTTGTTTCTTGTCTCGCCTATTTGCATGTCAATGTGCCCCCCCACACCCACGTTTCAGGAGGTGGCCCTGCCTCCTCTGGGAATGGAGGGCTTAAGGGAGTTGTTTGTCTCCTCGGGGGTCCCCGGGGTCACGGTCGTCCCCCTTAGGGGGGAAGGGGACGACGCGGCCACGACTCTCTAGCCTAGTTGCCTCTTCCTCCTCCTCTTCCCGCCCGCCCCCTGTCCCCCGGCAGCCACCTCTTTTTTCCCCATGGATGTTGTGACCCGGGAGAGGCTGAAAGATTCTGTGTGGAGGGAAGGCCCGTTTTTTCCCTGTCCCCAAAGTGAAGCATAAACTCGAGTTTGGGTCTTCGCCTCCTACCGTTTCTAACTTTTTTTTTTTCCTCCTCCGGTTGTCTCACCCATCCGTCCCTCTCCCTCTGCCCGCATCCCTGTCCCTCGGTCCCCCCTCGTCGCTGATGACTGCCAGACGCCGCACCAGGCCGCAGGCCAACCCTTCAAATTCACTATCCCGGAGTCGCTGGACAGGATCAAAGAGGAATTCCAGTTCTTGCAGGCGCAGTACCACAGGTGCGTGTCCGGCCGCGCGGGCCAATGGTCGCGCGGACGCCCCTGACCCTCTCGCTGGTCCGGATTGTACTGAGTGCTGGCGTCCAGGCGGTGGCGTGTGGAGTCGCAGTGAAGACCTGTCATTCAGGTCTTCCCGGGCCATCTCCGTTCTGTCTCCTCCTCCTTCCATTGTTTCCCTTTTTGCTGGCTTGCTACAGCTGTTCCAAGGAGTTCTCTCTGCTGTGTTTAGGAGTTGCATGAGAACTGTCAATATTTGCACTGCATGGATTTATTTTGCAACAGGCAAAGCTGAAACATGGGTTCGATCGATGCTTCGAGCCCTGGCGTGCGAGTTCAGGGAAGCAAAAGCCATGTTGAAATCGCTTTGGCTTGTCTGAGACAAAGTCCAGGAGGGAAGGAGACTGGGTGCTTTGGGCTGTGCCCGTCGGTGGGGATGGGAGCGAGGGAGGAGATGGGGCCAGTGCTCGCCTGCTCCGGCCTCCCAGGTTGGTTTGCCTAGAGGGAGGGAATGGAGCTGTTTCTTTTCATCTCAGCCTTGGGTTTCTTGCAGTCACAGCCCTGCCAGGTGTTTACACAGGAGAACTGTTTGTTACTCGCTGGCTGTGTGCAGTGAATACCCTCAGAAGAGTTGGGCCGGATTCAAGCTGAGAAATCACTTTCAAGGCAGCTTACAGCTTTGTCACCCGCCCCTCCACCCCCGAGATGAGGGTAGAATATTTGGGTGTGAATTGCGTGACTTTGGCAGGCGCCTTGTAGCTAGCCTCTGCTCCCAGCAAGCAGGACGTCGAGGCTGTCATAGCTGTAGCTGCTTGCCATATTCTGGTAGGAATTAAAAAAAAAAACCCTCTGGGTTTTGAGAAGCACTAGCCAGCGTAGACGTCACTTGACAGGCGAGGATTTAAAGAGGCTGTGGCCTGAGCCAGAGACGGGAGTGTGCTAAGAAGCTGGCTAGTGCAGAGGGCGAGGGGCCAAGGACCGTGGGGAGGGCTCGCTGGTGTGACGGCTGCCGGGGACCCTTGTCCTGCCCACCTCGTCCCCCCTTGTCTCCCATTCAGTGCAGTGGGACAAAGCTTTGGGGTGTTTGCCTAGATAGTCTGTGGCTTTTCCAAATTGGTCTGTGTTTTTTTGAACTTGACGTGCAAACAAGGAAGGCAGATGTTAAAACAACTGACGTCATGTTTACGTTAAGATGCCTGTTTTGTTTTCGCAGCCTGAAGCTGGAATGTGAGAAACTGGCAAGCGAAAAGACGGAAATGCAGCGGCACTACGTCATGGTAGGTATCGGAAAGTGGAACTTCTCGGTCATGTCATGTCGGTGCATATGTGTGCTTGGCCTGATGACAAATGCAAGCTAATGAAATGTGTGGTTCCTTTCTCTTTACAGTATTATGAAATGTCCTATGGATTAAACATTGAAATGCACAAGCAGGTAAGCTTTCGAAGAAGCTTGGGCTGTATCAGAACTCGGCTCCTGCAATTCTGTAACAGTGGCGGTGTGCTCAGTAGCGGGCTGTGGGCCTGGGGCTTCGGGCTGTGGGCCTGGGGCTTCGTACGCTCTGTGGCTCTGTGTTGCCTTGGTTTTCCCTTCCTGTTTGTGGGTGGTACTGTCTGCAGCAAGGGTTGATTACAAGGCGAGGTGTTTTGGAAATGTGACTGAGCCATGTTTCTTTTAGGCAGCAGGGAAATGAAGCCTGGATTGACTTGTCCTGGCTGTAGGGGCCGTCCTTTTGGCTCATCTGGGTGTCCAGTAGAGTTGCTGAAGTTGCGAACAGTTGCTGTTTCTGTGTCGCTCTGGAGGGAAGCGTGCGCCTGACGAGGGGGAGAGGGCATGATTGAGGAGTTTGTGTGAGCAGGTTGGGCAAGCTACGTGATGAATTAGAGCTCTCTGTGCTTTGGGGCTAGGCAAAGTGAAACTGAGCATTAGTGGCTTATTAACAAACATGCTTTTGAGAAATGGGTCGGTTGATGGCAGGTTTGGAGGTAAAAGCGAGAGGGACAGATCGTCCTTTTGTGGCCACGGCACATGTTGGAGGAACTTTCTTCAGTCCTGGTGCTTGGAAAAGCATGAGAAGATTAGTGACTGGAAAGCTGTAGCTATGACTATGAGTTTGCAAGTTCCCATAAAATTCACACTTACGGCTACTATAATGGTATATAAAAAGTGTATTGAGCTGGAACAAGGCACTAAGGGCCTCGTAAGAGAAGGAAAGCTAAATGATTGCTTAGCCCAAAGGACCCTCGATTGAGTAGTCATTGTCTGCCAAAGAAAGCATTAGTGGCAGGGTGTAAGTGTAGCCGGGATATGCTGACACTCGCTTTTTCATCAAGACGCCGGTACAATAAGTCTTTTGGAAATCGATGGCCTCTTAAAAAATTATCATCAGATGAAGTTGCACAGTTGGACACATTTCAAAGTGCAACAATACAATTCTTACTTGATGTATATGTGCTATGTCATCTCAAACCCTTGTTTCATTAAATTAAAGAGCATGGCTGACCGGCTGGGGCACAGTGGAGAAATGGATTAGTTCAGCTTTCAGATCTTGCTTAGAGTCAAAGACTTTCATTAAGCAAGTGTGTTTCAAGAGTTGAATTCTGCTTTTGTAACTCTGCACTCTTTGATTTTTAATTCATCATAGATCTCATCATGTTATCATATCATCATCCATGTTAGATCTGTTCTCAGATATGTGTTCGGAAAATGAGAGTTCAGTTCAGAGCCTTTCATTAATAATATAATTCAGGCTTTAAAAAAAATGCTGATTTTTTTTTTTTTTTTGACTGATGTGCAAAGTTGGTAGCTGGGTTGGTTCCTGTGTGTGTGTGTGTTTCTATGGCCAAAGGGCCTCACTGAGGCACCACTTGTAACTTGTTGACAATCAATGGCTTAGAAGGGCTGTGGCTGACATGGTCATTCAGAATGACTGAATAAACCCACATGTCCAGAAATGCTGTTTCTGTTCTGTAAGTTAAACCTGAGGCGGGTAACAGATATTCTAGAGAAGGAACGGGAGACTGAGCTTTTTTTCTTCTTAATCCCATCAACTCAAAAAATTGCGTCACCTTATCCACATTTTTTTCTCCCAGGGGAGCAGCACCCCTGTGTGATTCTCATGTGCAGGTGCGGGGCTTCTTGGGAGGCACTGAGAGAGGTGTGTGATATTTGCAGGGTCCCTGTAGGTTATGTAGCAAGGCGAGCTCCTCCTGATGGTGGAGGAGGAAGAGAGAAGAGGTGAGGAGGGTCGGGAGCCGCCTGGCATGAAGATAGTTTTCTAACGAGCCTGTGCAGGGCGGCGCTGAACCCTTGTAGGCATACACGCTCTGGCCCTGAGGCTGTGTGCATTCACAATACACTGTGTGTAATTGGCTCAGTAGTGTGAAAAATGTGCAAAGCTGAGCGGCACCTTGTTCCTCCTGGCGGGGTAGTAAGCGCCAGCCCCCGAACCCCAGACCCCCGAAATTTAGTTTATATTGTTAAGTGCTGACAGACCCTTAACTAGAGCGTTGTGCAGCGTCGTGCTGTAATTCAGTTGAAAGTGGCCTTACATTTGAGAAGCATCCTTCCGAATGTCACACATTAATAAGAAGTTCCGAGGAGGCATTTGGTGCCGCAAGTAATCATAATTCTTATTAAAACTGGTGACGTCTGGCCCCCAGGGTGTAGCCAGGCTCAAATTGATGCTTTTTGCCGCCTGATCAACAGCATGGCCTAAGTGCTCATTATATTGTAGAGAGGGCCTTTGGAGCTCTCATTAGATTTGACAGGAATTCTCTCTAGGGGGACACTGGGCATTAGCGAGACTCCTGACAGGCTGAAATTATTCCTGCTTTATGGCTTATAACCAAATGCTAGCAAGGCATCATCAGGGGACACAAAAAAATCGGCGTTTCTGACAACATCTTTGTTATGGAAAAGGAAAAAAAAAAAACCAACAACCCTGCATTGATGGGGAAACTTTCCCTGGAGACGGAGCCTTCGTGCTGCTAGGCCATGCCTGCGGTGGGAGCCCGCTGCCCCCTCCAGCTTTCCAGGGCTGTGGCGAGAGGCTGAGATGTAGAGATTTCAGCCTCAGGTCTCCCCACCGCTGGCTTTTCCGTTAGGAAGTTGTCAAGTGGAAGTGAATTCAAGTCACTAACGGTACAAGTGTGGTTTCCTTTCTTGGTACGGTGCCCGAGCTCGGCGTTTGATGTTGTCTCAACACTTCCGGGGAAAGCAGCCTTGCCCTAACTTTCTCTGTGTCCTTTTGCTGAAAAGGCAGCAGAACAGGGATGGTAATGAATCCTGAACAGCTGCATGGTAGCGTGAAGACTTGTTCCCTTAGAGCTCTTCACGCATCCTTGTTCCTGGGTCCCCATTCATGTAGATCATATGCTCGAGCACGCTCCGTTCAGAGAGGTAAGACTTTCCAGGAAGGAAGACAATTCTAGTATCATCCGAGTTAGGCTGCGTGAAGAATAATAATAGCAGGTTGATGTGGCTTCAGTTGTTTGCAGGGCTCTGCCCAGTGTGTGTGGAGGTCGTTGTGTTTTTCTGTCGTTCATCTTTGCTGTGCTCCTGATTGGTGTCTTTGGGAAGGAGAGAGACCATAAATGCACACAGAAGCCTCATTGGTCTCATTGGTCCCCTTGCTCATGAGCCCGTGCTGTCAGTTGTCGTCAAGGCCTTGGTTCATGCAGCGGGTCACAGCCTTCCACAGCAACTTGTCTGCCATGGGCGCCGTCATCATCCTGCGAAGCAAATGGGGTGGTGGGTGTTGGGGATGTCCAGTGGCTTGCTTGATGCTGAGCACCTGTTAGCTTGAGCTGGGGTTGTGCGTGACCCCAGGTGGCTTCTTGTCCCCACCAGGCTGCTGTTGGGATCACCATGCCAGTGGGTAGAACTCATGGCCTGGTTCTCATCCCCTGGGCTGATTGACCACGTAATATACACGACACATCAGGGCTAGGCAGGAGGTCTGTGTGGTCTGCGAGTAGAAGCCGGGCCTGGGAACGGGTTGCAGTGCACTGAGGGATACCATCGTCAGATTAAAATACTTTGAAGAGCGGCAGAGACCCCTGGGCCACCCTAGTGGTGGAGTGCGTGATTTCTGCCTGCCATGGGTTTTATTCAGCAGGTAGGGTGCCAGCGACTCTGCAGGCAGATGCCCGGGCAACGCTTCCCAATGATACATCTACAAAAAAAGATGATCTGTTTTACAGTTTGCTTTTGGAGTGAGGAAGGCGAAAAAGTTCATGAGATCGTTGCTGTAAGCTGTGTGTCTCAGACGGTGGAGTGTTGCAGTGAAACTGCTTCTACAGTTTTGCTGTGTACTTCGCAAACTTCTCACAGACACTTCTTATACATATTTCTCTTTTTTTGGGGGGGGTGGTGGGGGAAAAATAACAAAGTCTTTGAAATTGTTGGGGATTCATTCACCTGTGGGTTCATTTCTAAGATGAGAGATCAAAAAGGGAGAGAAACAGAGGAAAAAAAAATTCTATCTGCTGGTTTTCATTTCCCAAAATGAAATGACTGTCGTAGCTGCGGCTGGGCAACTCTGTGTGAGACTTGTGTGGGTGACAGGACTGAAGTACTTGAACCAGGATGTACATTAGCAGGAAGCTGGGGAGGGGGGTTGGAGAATACAACGAGGACCAGAACCTATGAATGTTGATTTGGGACTTGGGCATCCCAAGCAATGTTTTTAACCACTGGGCCACATACGTGTGTTTTTGTCTCCAGTCTCTCACTTTGCGATTATTTTGAAGTCAAAACACCATAAAATGATTTAGCTGGAGCCCAGGTACTTAGAGTTAAGACCTAGCAGGTACTAATAACCTTGTAATACAAAGAGGGCTGCTGTCATCAGTGTTGGAGTGGTCCCAGCTTCACTTTGTTCCAGTCAAGGCCTGGCCTCTACAAGCGTTCAAGTGTTCAGAACCTAGATTCGTAAGTGTGAGATTAGCCTTTGTTTTATCAGCATACAGGGCCCATGTCGACACGCTGGTCCCTGCCCCAAAGCCTGTCAGCATTGGGGTGGTAGCTGCTGCTTGTTCCAGGCCCTACACCAGGAGAAGGGTGAGTGTGGCCTTGGGCGAGACATTTAGGAAGGTATCAGAAAATTTAGTGCTCAAATAACATTTAAAAAATTCAAAATGAGTGCTGAATATATCTGTATGGAACAGAATACCATCATTTTCTCTAAGGAGAGATGGATCTGGGTTAGGATGAGGCGAGGGAGGCAGAGCTGAGGGTGCAGGGTCCTGTGAGGGGCTGGGATCAAGTTCTGAGCTTCCCTGGACCTGCTTCTCTCACCGCTACATGAAGGGCTCCTTTGAAAGTCTCTGATGGCCGCTTGCATGGGGTAATGACTCACCCACACACCCACGGCTCTGAGCACTTTGGTGTGGGAATTACAGAGAATTCTTTTTGCTAGAGGACTTACATTC